CCCGGAGGATGTGGCGGGGATAAAAGCCCCACCCAGGCCAGCCGGCTCCGCTCGGCAACTGGGGACGCTCGCAGCTCTCGGCGCCCGGCCCAGGTAAGCGGGGCGCGCCCCGCCCGCCCGCTATGGCCCCGGGCCGCTTGCTGGCGGGATACGGAGGGTCCAGGAAGAGAGTCCGGCCGGCCTCGCATGGGCAGAGGCCGCGGGCAGCGGGCAGTGGTCCTGTCCGGGGCTGGAGGCTGGAGAGACGGCCCGCACCCCGGGGTCTGCGGTAGGGAGGCAAGGTGTTCGGGGCAGGAGTAAGGGGCCACTCGCGCTCAGGCCTGGGTGCAGGACACGGGGCTGGGGGCCGGGCATTCCCCCGAAGTCCTGGCGGGAAAGCGGGTGCGGCGAGCGGAGGAGGCCCCGCATTCCAGGCGCGGCGGGCACTGGCGAGCTCAGGGCGTGGCTGGCCAGGGAGCTGCCAGTCCCGGGCAGAGCGCTGGCGCTGGGCAGGGTCCCATTGTCCTCCACGCTCAGCCACGGCTCTGCTGGGCTCTGGAAAGTAGCCCCCCCGTCTGTTCCAAGTTACTTTACTTGAAAGAAATGAGTATTTGCTGAACTTGAACCGACCCGCAGGAGGAAAACCGTGGGGAGGATGAGGGGCGGGCGTTTTGAGTAGCCAGCCCTCCTCCCCAACAAAACCCCCAGTTCGTGGTTCCCCTTTGTTCAGATTATCTTGTAGGATAGCAACTTCGGATTTCACTCTGTCTGGAATCTCTCACCGGGTTTCTGAACCCACTTTGATCAGGAAGGAAGCGTCCTTCCATGGCTTGTGGGAAGGGCTGTCCTGTTACTTGGGTGATGCGGCCCTGAGTCAGGGGCTGAGGGTGCAGAAAAGGGCGTGGCCGCCGGGGCCTCCCCGCGCTCCGCACTCGGCGCAGCAGGGCCCAGGGCCTGAGGACTCGGTGCCGTCACCTGCAGAGGCAGGATCTGTGCAAGTGCCTTGGTAAGGACGCTCCCACCTGACAGGGTTATCGAAGGTTGAAGAACACATATTCATTCAAAAATAAATACGTAAAGCACACCGAAAACACTTAGGTGGGATACAAATGCACAGTGTCATTTCTGTAGTAAGATCGGCATTTTAAAGCTGTGGGTGTTCTGTGTGTGAAAGACCGCTGGCGTCATGAGTGCACCGCGGTCCTTGCCAACAAACCCTCAGCGCTGGAGTCCTCCGGTCTGGGCCCCAGACTGCTGATGGATTCTGTGCACCCGTGTGCTAGAATCTGGAACTTGGATTGGAATGCAACCAGCACTTTCTCACTGAAACCATGTTCTGGAAGGTGCTTGGGTTCCCAGGCTAGCCCAGAAAACCCTTTTTAACAGGCGCTGTGTCTAAGTACTGCCTCATGGTGGGGTGTGGGTGGGCGTGGAGAGTTGGAAAGATGAGGAGAAAGAATAAATCACCGAAAGAATTTTCTGGAAGTTTTTGTAAGTTTAAGTCCTGGTTAAATTATTTTAATTAGAAATTTAAAAAATCCTGGCCTTTTGTAAGTTTGGTCCTGGTTAAATTATTTTAATTAGAAAATTATGTCTCTGCCCCCTCCACGTTCCCTTTCCCCTCCCTCCCACCTCCTTGACACACCCCAGTAGCCATCCAGGCTTGTCCACCTGTCGCACATTCCCTCCTCATTACAGAGTCCTCACAGCCAGCCAGAGACCAGCAAATTGAATCAATATTCATTAAGTTAGGAAAGGTCGGTGGTCCAAAAAATCTCCAGCATAAACAGATCTATAATTTACAGAATTTGAGGCTATGGAACCAAGAAGCAGTAATATTCAGGGAATGCGAAGAAGATTTTAGGTGTGATCAGGGCCAAAGAAGTGTCCTTTGCAGCCAAGGGTGTTAAGACATTCTTGCTTAGCAATTTCCTCCCTTCTTCCAAGTCCATTTATTATCTAAGCGTTTCAAGGTTCTCCAGAAGTGTCCATCACATTTGCAGTGGAAGGGTGTGGCCATCATGTACATTTTTTTTTTTTTTTAGTTGGAGGTCTATGATTTGGAGACTGCTTGGATTTTATGATTCCCTCACTGCCAAGTGGCCTGCTCTTGGTCAATGCCCAGGAAGTATTGCTGACTCACTGGCTTTGATTGAGAGCTCAGTCTTGGACTGGAGTCTCAGTCTTAGACTAGAGCCTTCAAATATAACATCCTACAACTTTGATCTATGAAATAATGATATTGATTGACACTAGGCTCACAGTGATGGCCATTAGTTTCCTGGCTAATTTCTGATTTAAGTAGTTTTCCTGGAAAGGTAGGTAGTCTTCTGTAATTGTTATTGATTTTGTGGGCTGTGGGCTCTGCCTGCACCCCTGGGCCTAGAACCTGGCTCTGATGTGTTGTCACAAGCTTTGTTCTCACTCGTTGCTTATATAGGGCTTGGGGCCTGGCTAGCCATTTTTCATTAAAGGAGGGTGGGTGTGTCACAAAAGGAGTCCCAGGCTCTAGTGTGCTGCTTTAAACATCCATTTACTCCATGAAATATTAATCACACACTATGTTCACCCACTGTTATAGGTATTCAGCCTATAAGGAGATACAACAGACCAAAAAAAATAAATAAATAAATAAATAAAAGGCCTCTCTTTGGCTCTTAAAAATAGCACAGAAAGAAAGAAGTGAGACAAAATAAGTGAATTGTATAGACATTAGTTGGATTTGTAGAGACATTAATTGTACAGACATTAATTAGATTTGTCGTCTGGCCCAGGCCGGAGTGCCATGGCACTAACATTGCTCACTGTAACCGCAAACCCCTGGGCTCAGGTGATCCTCCTACTTCAGTCTCCTTAGTAGCTTGGACAGGTGTGTGCCACCATGCCCAGCTAATTTTTCTATTTTTTATAGAAATGAGGTCTCATTATGTTGCTCAGGCTGGTGGTCTCAAAATTCTGGCCTCAAATGATCCTCCTGCCTTAGCCTCCCAAGAGTGCTAGGATTATAGGCAAGAGCTACTTCACCCGGACAGATTGGATTTTAAACTATATTTTCCCAAATTGATGTTATTTTCCACATGTAGCTGAGGTTTATTTCCTTTTTAATCCAACTGTTCCACAGACCCAAGCATTGTGTTTAGCCCATCTCAGGACAGTATTGTTTGAAGCTATAGGGTCTTAACCTGCTCTCCAGATTTGATTATAGGAATTAAGTAGAAATTGAATATTCTTCCTCTTTTTTTTTTTGGCACATGAGAATCCTCTTCTCATTTTCCCTGGTGCCACACCCTATTCTAGTTGTAGGTCACGCCAAAGGAAATTCCAGTCCTTTAAAAATATTCTTTCCACCCATTCACCGTCTGGTATATTTTTTCTTTTGCTATTGCCAGAGACAGTCCTCATCTACTTTGTTGAGGAGGCAGGTCAGCAGTAGGGTCAGGAGATGCCCGCACTTGTGCTTCTGGGTGTTTCTACTGAGATTACCACCAAATCTCCCTTCTGGGGTATGCCCTAAAGCGTTTAAATCATCCAAACTTAACCTTGTTAGAGCACAGGTCAGTGATACTCACGCAGTCTGAGTTCTAATCCCAGGCTTAGTGTCGAAAGCTCTGACTCTAGGGAGTGGCTGTGACCTGCAGTCATTTGTCCATGCCCTTTGTCTCCTTGCCACACCCAGCCTGCACACTCACAGCCCAGAGGAAGTCTGAGTCCCAAGGCCTCTTGGACATCCTCCTTGCCTGCTTTCATACCTAAAGGAGAGATAGATTACACTCCCATTGCCCTGTGCATGAAGCTAGGACCCAGGCAGACCCGAAGGCACCCAGGTGGGGGTCAGGGGCTACCTACATATAGTAAGAAAGGCTGCCCGCGGAGTGATCTGCCCAACTTTGCACAGATTTGCAAGGGCTGGGAATTTAAACCTCCAGCTCTGAATGGATGGATCTGGAACTGTATTTGGAACGTTCAGTCTGAAGTAGAGAAAGAAAATTGAGGGAAGAGAGTGTGTCGGAAAAGAAGAAAGAAAAGACCTTCCAAAATGGGAAGGCCGGGGTGTGTAGCCATCCTGAGCTGGGATTGGAAGCCTGTTGTGTGCTGGGTGCTGTGTGGCAGCGGGGACTAGTAGGGCAGAGACCTGTAGGGGATAGTGTGAAGACGGCCTTTATACACTCTCTCCGCGTTCCACGGCCACACAGCAGTGGGTGGTGCACAGGGCAGGGAGGGCTGTGCTGTACCCGAAAGCTTCATTATGCTGATCAAGATAGAGGTTCCCGGTAGAGGGAACTTGAAAAGGTAGTGGACAGTGCTGAGTGCGTTTGGAGGAGGTAACAGCATAGTCTGACTTCGAGGAAGGGGGTGTGTGTGTGTGCGCGCACCTGTGTTTGTGCTTGTGTGTGTAGAAGGAGTCTAAGGAAAGGTAGGTAGGCGGAGTATGGACAATCTGGACTGCTGAACCTAGACTTTTTTCTGTAGGCAGCTGGGCCCTGTTGAAAGAACAGTACGCGGGCCATAAAGTCCTGAAATTGAGCTATAGAGGTGAAGGCCTGGATTTCCCAGCACTGAAAGTGCTTCATGCCAGGTGACATCACCCTTCCTGAGGGTCTCCTCCCGCCCACTCCAGCCCCACACTGGGAGACAGGGCAGAGAGGCTATGAGAGCACAAAGCTGCAAACAAATATTGACTCAGCTCAGGCAGCAGAAGGGACAAGATGGAGCGAATGCTCTTGTCTCTCCAGCTCAGTTTGATCAGGCCACTGGGCTGAATTCCAGGAATTCTGGGGTATGGCTCGGCCCTGTGACTCAGGCATTAATCAAGACCATAAAACCAAGGGGGGAAAGTATGTGCTTTCAAGAAGATTCTGTTGAATAAAGATGCTCTGAGGGAGGGGGTGGGGAGTGGAGTACAGAGGGGACTCCCCGCGCCCCCAAAAATCTGTGCATTTTTTAAAATTAAAAATTCCAGGGTAGCCTGTAAACGAGTGCCCAGGACAGTGCACAGTGAGGGCTGCGGTGGGGAAACCCACGCCTCCATACTCCTACTCACACTCCATTTTGCTTTAAAATCTTCATTTGAATCATCCAGTCCCTGATTGATTCATCATGGTTGCTAGGGATCT